TCTAACTCTCATAACGCCTGGTGCCGAGCACTTCTCACCCAAAACGATAATTGACATTTCCTACGCATTTCCTAATAAATATCAACATAATTACAATTGAAAGTAATTATGTACACAATGCTTTGGAAATTTAATGCTGCAATAACAATAATATAAAAGTGTATTTTGTATATTTCGTACAATGCCCCATGATTTTAGCAGCAATTCTAATTATTATGCAAATGATGTATGTACATGTACATGTATTCCTCAACAAACAAATGATTACAATGTGTCGTGTTGCAGTATCAGGAGTATTTGTCTCCAACCTCTGTGATCCGGGATTGTATGGAGAATTTTGTGACAAGCGTTGCAATGCTAAGTGCCGCTCTCATTCTGACAACAATATCTATTGTGAGAAACACCACGGAGCATGCTCACTGGGTCGTGTTCCTGGGTGGTATAACGAAACATGCATAACCCCTTGCAGCCAGAATTGCATCGGTGATATGTGTAATCAACAAACAGGGCAGTGCACAAAAGGTTGCAAAGGAAACGACAGAGGGGCTATGTGTAACGTATATGAAGGTGTGATAAATAAGCTACATATGCATGCGTTCAGCTTAGGTTCATTTACACCACGTTCACCTCAAACACACAGTCACGTGATGCTTCAGAAAAAAAGTCACAGAAGCTCCTTAGTATCCAAGGATATAACTGTCAAACAGGAAGGATATACATTCCTGTTTGGAAAAGATATATTGCCAGCATGAGTAATCCACGGTCCGGATGAAACTATACATACTATCTACAAGTCCCCTTGCACGTTTACATATGAATAATTACAGTTCAACTTTTAATGTAATCTTTTGTTGCAAATGAGAAGAGATACTGGGCTATTGTTTCATATAAATATACTTAATAATGATATTTTGGTATGTTATAAGGTGAAAAAATGAATGTATATAGAGATTACTACACGAGTCTCAAAACGTATCTAACGAGCGAAAGCGAGTTAGATACGCTTTGTAACAACGAGTTGTTAGATCAATGGTATCTGACAGGCACGAGTGCAGTTATCTGTTTCTTACACACCCTAAAATTGCACCTTTTTAGCATCGAATCTTTGCATTTTGTCTATTCTAATGATGGCAGTAGCGCATTAATACATAACACCACTGTCATAAGTGACGTCATCCTATGTGCTGCTTACTACTTATAAATAATGTGACCCTAAACAAAAAGGTTTCCGCCATATCTGAGGATTATCAAGGCGATGATGATAATGCAAGCTAGACAAAAAGAAAGAACACGCTGAATGCCGAGTTAAAAGTTTACCTCAAATATATTACCAAATATGTACAACAATGTTTACTTCCGTATGACATCACTACCGGTGACCGACTTTTACGAAATGGCGTGTTCAATGACAACAGTACGCGGGATTTCCAGAGGAGGATTTTCGTTACTTGAGGGATCGTATACATAAATGAACTGTTATTTGTTTACCATGTTTTCCAATGAAACAAAGAGAATTAGTCAGAAATGCAGATAACTACCGTCGTCGTTGTGCGTGATTTAGCGGCAGTCATGGCGTCAGACATGACGGAAATTTTAAGGTTTTTGTTGAATTCACCACATCATTGTAATTTATATATTTGAAATTCCATAATTAGTGCAACGATACTCTTCCCAGGAATATTTTAAAACGCGTGATCGAGCCAGTGTATGCAACAATTAGACGAAAGTACCTCTAAAATGTTACAGCGTGTAAAATCTGAATTTTGCTTTGTTTACATTTCAGCGAGTACAGTTTTCCGAGCACAGTGTTCGTTTCCCCACCCAATTTATTACGCATGATTTCATACAGATAATTTGCATTGGTGACAAAGACCATGTGTCATTTGATTAAGAAATGTATGAGGAATTCGGGTATGCATGTATAGCAGCTGAGTTTGAAATATACCTGATCGAATAGGCGTCTCATAACCGGCATTTTGTAAACATATTCCAATATGGCTGAACGTACACTTCGGCGTTCGTGTGTGCGTATTTTCCAAAACTTTCAAACAGGATTCTAGGCTTATCAGCGACGTTTCAGAATTATCAATAGTGATTTGATACCCGTGATCACTGGTATGCATTTTTTTATACTTTAATTATTCAAGTAAATATCCGATTTTTAAATTTCAAAACACACAGTAAATAACGCCGTGAATTGTGATTTTGCGAGATTTACGATTTACCTAATTTTCAGAAGTCACTTTCATTAATTTTGCTTTGCCTAAATTGACAGTAAATGATAGACAGAAGGGGGGATTCACAACCGTGATTAGTATTAGTTTGCGTGATGTATGTTGAATTTTATTCGATTTCGAAGTGAGAGTTGAAGAGGAGGGAAATATGTGTCGTTGTGGCATCCAGTGGGTTCATGCTATAAAAATCCCGTTAAAGTTGACATAACAACAAATAGCGTTACTGGATAATAATAACGAACAAACTCGCAGAAGAAAAGGCGTTTGCTTATTATTATTAATAATAAAAACACGGTCCTGTGGGTCACACAGACGTAGGTGAACATTTGACTGAAGCACGAGCAACTTATCAATGACTTGCAATCAAAAAGGTAGTCCGTCATCATCTGACCTCAGGTCATCACCATGGATTAGCCAATCACTGGCCTGGAATTCGATCTCACACATATGTTTGATACCAATTATCTCAAATGGGTTTCTCACCCACAGGTGTGTAAGAAAATATGTTACTTGTTGACATATATAAATTCCTAATGAAGCAAATATATATAAGTGTAAGTAAGTAAGTAGATGTAACACACCAAGATGCGGCACGTGTAACATCATAAGTGAAGGTACTACTTTCCTTTTTGCAAATGGCAAGGGTTTCAATGTGAAAGCCGACATGAACTGCCGCAGCAAAGATGTGGTGTATGTTACGAGATGTTCGGGATGCGGCAAAAACTACATCGGTGAAACCGGCATGGAATTAAAAGATAGAGTCACTGTACACAAACAGCAGATTAGAGACCCTAATGTTCGATGCTTAGGTGTCAGCAAACACATTGATGATTGCGGAAACGGGAAATTTACTATTTTTCCGTTTTATAAATTGTATACAAGTAACAAGCAGCTGAGACTGGAAAAAGAACAAATGTTTATCCAATTGATGAAACCAAAGTTGAACTCTAGAATGTATTAATAGATTTGTCATTTCAATCGTAAATGTTGCACTGTTACTTTACAAATACTGTATATTTAATTCAAATGTCTCCCTACAAATGTTAAATTACTTGGTGTCGTCGCTGGAGTGCGTAAATACATTGTGACGTCACAGTTGTAATTTATGACGTCATCATAAGTATGACGTCATTATATGTATATGTCAGTTACACTGAAGAGCTGTCATGAGACAGCGAAAGTACTATGTATGAAACTGATATAAAGAAGATGATGGACTAACGTGGACGTTATTATTTTATTATATATTACATGTACACCGAGTACATATATATATATATATGTATTTGCTTCATTTGGAAAACCGGTTGAGTAAATTATACAGCTCATCTTTGGACTTTTGTATCTCTTATGAAGACCCATACTTAACGGGCAGAAAGTTTGACGAAATATGTGGAAATACTCAATTCCTTATTCATGTACATGTGTAGGCCAGCGGCCCATGGTACAATATTTGGTCCATCATTAACATTTATAGGCTTAGTGTTTGGAGTCTAACATTCATAGCATGGTATATAAAAGTTGCAACATTTCTAATAACAGTTTCATTGTTTACCGCCATAAGCATATTGAATTTAGCAAGAGTAGGATGTACAAAATACTTCTGTGGTAAATACTGAAGACGAAGTTCATCATAAGCGTTACAAATTAATAAAAAATGATATTCATTCTCGACATATCTTTGATTGCAACTATTGCACAATCTCTGCTCTCGTGGAGTATTAACGTATCTACCAGTTTCAATGTGGAGAGTGTGAGAGCTACAGCGAAACTGGGCTAGTGCAACACGAAATATGTTAATAGCGAAAGCAGACAAATACGACTCTAGACTTAATGAATTTTTGAAAAGTGTAAAATGGAACATTTTAGAACTATTTGCTAAAGACCAATGCCAATCCTGTTCGTAAGCAAATTTTCACCGATCTTCACATTCGGAAATAAATTTTTCGGGGCAAATGACATTGGTTTTCCCATATATATCCAAATCTAAGGCTGTATAAAAGAGTTTTGACTGTTGTAGGCCATTAAGTTTTACCATGTGTGGCCAGCTGAAATAACATATCATAACCTTTTCTAGGATATCGTGAATTTGGGAGGGACATAAGTTTACACCAATATTTTATACAGCGTTTATACGCAGGAATGTACAGTTGGTATCTTCCACACTCTCCTCGCACAACATGATTGGGAGTAGACGTTTCAACACCTAGCAGACGTTTACAAACAAGTACATGGATACTTTTTATTTCTTTACAGTTTTCAAAACTCCACATTTCAGCCCCATATAACATAATTGGAGCTATTTTGGTATCGAATATTTTAAAAAATAGTTTCATCGGAACAGGTTTAAGTGATGAAAGGGATTTTAGAACCGAGAACAATAATATGTGGAAATAACAACCGAAGCTATGTGACAACCGAATTGGCTTCTTTCACACATTACGTAAGATAACTGGGGAATAACAAACCTGAATAAAACGAATAGATGTTTTGCTATCTTATTTATGATTTGTTAAAACTAAATCATGCTTACAATTTCACCTGAATTTTACGAAATGCTCCCCTAAATAGATGCGTATTAACACATACAAAATTGTAGCGTTTCACCATACTATCACTGACATTATCACAGAATCTTCCTATATTCCATACGTAATTTGTATTTCACAATGAAGAGAATTTTATACACAGCTATTTCTAACGTGTTGAAGGGAATTCTACAGAACTCTATGATGCCTAATTATCTTAGTATGTCATTTTACCAAGTGACAAGAAACGATCCACCACCAAGACACGACCAGGAAGTGACAGATGGAGCCAAGCGAGTCGTCCTAAAGTTGGTCTTCGCCACTGGTGTGTTATTCGTCCTCGTAGTATTGACAGCCATCACTGCGGTTCTGTAAGTTTAAAGTTTCCTATGAACATGATTCTGAGATTATTTATGGCAATATTATTTGCTATGAATTCCGACAATGGTTTATACATGCAATAGCAAATCTTGACAGTAGAAAATTACAAACTTTATGCCGTTTGTCTGAAAGTCGGAGTGAAGAAAATGGAATCAATATCACATGTGCATACACGTTTTATTTCATATATGTCAGTATATCAGTGTAGGTCGTTGCATTTTGAATTACTCCCTTTGCAGCTTGGTGAGATGCTTTTCCAGCAAATAAGGGTAAGGAACACTGAATTCGCATCCGCGTATTTTGTTATTATTCCATGCCTGCCACATAATGCCACACACGCTTACTCTCTATATTTACTATCCGAGGTGATTACGGGTTATGATAGGTCCCTAAGAACCAACATGCTGGCTGTAAGAGGCGAGTAAATGGAACATTGGCTAATGGCTGTCGTACCCTGACGGAATGGATCGGTGTATAAAATATCAATCATTTGATTGCATTGTCCATAGAGTACAGGCCGCCTCCTTATAGCTGGACTAGTGTTCAGTGTGGCGCTGAACAACAAACAAACGTGTGGGTGGGTGTGCGCGCTATAATACAACAGTAACTGTGACAATATGAACAGAATAATTGCAAAATACGGGGATTTATGTGGACGATATTGATTACCAGGTCGATCAACCATTTATCTGTGCAGGCTGTGTGTCGTATACATATATAAGTAGTTGATCGATCTGTTACGTCATACACAAGTACATGGGACACTGAGGCACGGTGAAAACGAAGCAACTTAATGGTTTGGATAGTCAGGCTTGTCATCGTATCGTTCATATTCGTTCGACCTTTGCTCATATGAATTACTAAATGGCTATTTCAGACAGCTTTTACATGTCGCCGTCATATAGCTGGAATATTGTTGTGTGCGGCGTTCAACAAAAAGCAAACAAACCCTTCCTCAGAATAGTGTATGGAAAACTATGTAATTTATTGTTCACCATTTTAGTATCATCTACAAGTCATGATAGGTAACGTAGAGAACGCTTACAGTGTAATCAAGTGGGACAACCATTCTAATTATTTGTTTTTAAAAACGACATTTCTTATGATTTGATTATATTAATTACGTATGTGTGTAGTGAGATGCGACTAACAAGATCGGGTGATCAGGTTCGCTGATTTGGTTGATGCATATCATCGTATCCAAATTGCGTGGATCGATGCTCATGATGTCAATCACTGGATTGTCTGGTCCAGACTCGGTTATTTACAGACAGCCGTCATATAACTCGAATACAGCTGGGTGTCGCGTTAAACAACAAACATACAAATAAAACAAAACGCATGTGTATAACTATCAAATTTCAAGTGTAATTGTTATCTTGTATTTATATATTTTTCATCAATACCAACTTTGGTAAGTATGTTGTTATAGTTGAAATTCAAGTGATGAACGTCTTAGTTGTTTACCACCCAAAGTGGTGCTAACAAACCTACAAACATATTTAGGGCGAACCAGGAGTCAGAACCGCATTTCTGTCACGGTGGGGAGGTGGGGTGGCCTTGTGGTTTAATCGTTCACTCGTCGTCACGTGTTCCATTCCCCACATTGGTATTAGATGACCACCTAACTTACAATATCACCACTAAAGCCGTAGTCCATCGACATTATGCAAGTCGTGCACTTTGGCCTGAACATATGGCGCAACTATCTGTGGGTCCTGAATACCACTTCTGCGTTAATTCAGTTCAAAGCCTCGCTTGACGTTTTTAAATACAATCCCACGCGCAATTTCGGGGATGGATGGAAATCAACTGCCCATACGACAGACGTTACGAAGAATGTATAAATGTATAATTATGTTTGTTTGTAGAAAATAAAATCCCCGTTGGAGATGGCAACGGCACCAGGCGTTTTTCTCGTAAGTGTACAACAATGTAAACGGTCTACTTGGCTACTATTTGCGCTTGATATATTCTTGGACGCATTCTGAATGTAATTTTAAAGTAACGTAACGTCAAACTAATTAGAGCACCGCGAAGTAAGTGTCTCTTAGAAATCAATCAACAAATTGCTCTCAAGGTTCTGCACAACTCTTCAGTATAGCGTACCTGTTTGGTTTCATTCGTAGGATGGTGACCAACAGATTTTACTAATCCCAAATGTGAGGGCGTACGATTTTTTCTCGAAATCGGACATGAAGGTGTCTTGTTTAATCCGGATTAAGAGGGCTAATCCAAGACAAATGGTAAATAATTCGGTGTTCACCAAATTAGATGTTTTATTACATTAGAACCTACACCGAAACGTCGCTCCTAATTTAATAAAGAAGCTGTTCATCCATAAATCTTATCCTTACTTTGAACTCAAACTTCTAAAAGTCTCTGAAAGAAGTTGTGCTGATACCATTTTAAAGGATTCGTAATAGCGGATGCTATTAATATTAATAACGGATAATCATGATAATTTCTTTACATGTTGTGCTGGCACAAAACCGAACAATACCAATACCGTTGTCGTATATCTTACATGACAACAGACTACCGTACGTTTTTGTTTATGCGTCCTGAAACTTGTGTGAGATCGAAATGTCCGCACGTTTTGTTTCCTTCGGGATTACATTTGAATATGACCAGAACCTGAATATATCGAAAACTGGGTGTACTTTATCGTGTTGTGCATGTTGTTGCGTAAAACCACACTGGCGTGAAAGGTTGACCCATATACATAGATGTAGTATTAGTAGTTCTAGTAGTAGTCACAATAGTAGTCGTGGTTCTAGACATTAACTAGTAGCACTTTGTTTAATAGTGGTAGTATTGGAGGTGGGGGAGGTGGTGGAGGTGGTGGTGGTGGTTGTCATAGTTGTTGAATATTTCTTTGATGTGCAGGAGATGTTGTGGTATTAGTATGTCTTCTGAGCCACTGTAAACGCTGCAATAGTTGTAGATTCGGTAGTAGTAGTAGTAGTAGTAGTAGTAGTAGTAGTAGTAGTAGTAGTAGTTATTGCGGAAGTACCAGTTGTGATTTAGGTTTATTAGATAGCCGGACGGTCTGTTTGTCAATTTAACACTTGTTAATATGTTAATACCCAATAAAATCCTTCACTAGATGCCCTACTTGAACTTTTCAGTTGGTTGTTGCATCATTTGGAAATTACGATAATTAAACTGCTAGAACAGAATAATTTGAATCCAAATATGTTTTGTAAGGATGAAACTGAAATATTGCAACGACCAACTGAAAATGTATATGAAAACGGATTTTTGAAGGAACTCTTTCAGGAAAGGGACCCAACATGGTTATCAGGTAACGGGGTTGCCTGGAAGATAATCATTCATAACCTGATAACCTAATTTTGACACCCCTGATGACAGACATTTCCGAGAGGAATGAATAATGTATATTTTTGTTTTGTAGACGAGTCTTGCGTTCCAATCCACATTGAAGATGACGATCATTGAAAATATAGGTCGCTCGTTCTCAAATGAGGAAAGGTACAGGACAACGGCGAGTGCCGGACTTAGCCGAATGGTGACAGAAACCGGACAATTAAAGGGGCACTGATCCAAAGCAATTCCCCGGGACTGGTTGTTGCCTTTGTTATTTTTTTCCCCCGTGAGTACCCGGGTGATACACTAGAAATCTAGACTAGTTCGCGACCTGTGCTTCGCCATTCGTGAGCGCTTTTGTCACTTTTATTGATAGTATAATGGCGTATAGTCACACTGATCAACAAAATGAAATACAGTTTTATTACAAATACAAATGTAGGTATCTTTGTGGGTACCATCAGTAATGGTGACGACGTTTTGATAAGTCTCTTGCTTGGTAATTAAGCGACCTTCGTTTACACTATTTTGACTTGCAACACAAAGTCAATATTTCACCTAAGCATTGTTTATTTTATCGTGTGTATATTTTTACAGTAAATAGTGTAAATTTTCACCTAGGAAATTCATTAAACTCCTTATTATTCAGTTATTTTACACATTGACTGAACAATATGTCAATCTGTATTACTATGATAACGAATTCAAACATTTTTATGCTTAATATCATCACCAAGTGACTGAAAATGTTAGGATTAAAAGTACATTTCTATATTGTTTGGCTTCTAATCATAGCATAATTAATCTATTGTGATGTTTTTAAGCCCTTTTGAACGTCTTAATCATTTTAGTCGATCTGTTAAATAAATCGACAGATTTGTCAGTCAATTTGTAAAATGACTGAAATATTTAGCTATTTTATAATTTGCCTGAGTGAATCACATTTTACCCATTGACTGTAACATATATACTCTTACAAAGGTAAAGACTTGTGAAAACAATGTCTGTCTCGCATCGAACAACTTCCCAACCAAGACGTAGAGGAACAAGAATGATTCTGTTCAATGTAACAGCAAATATCATAATTACAACCTACCAAAGTTAAATGTATAGGGCAGTCGGGTAGCCTAGTGGTAAAAGCGTTTGCTCGTCACGCCGAAGACCGGGTTCGATTCCCGACATGGGTACAATGTGTGAAGCCCATTTCTGGTGTCCCCCGCCGTGATATTGCTGGAATATTGCTAAAAGCGGCGTAAAACTCACTCACTCACTCACTCACTCACTCACTATATGTATAATTTTAGGCAGCTACCTTGTTCGAGGAATGTATCCGTGAATATCCACACAAAGGAACAATATCCCACACGTCTGCAGCTGTACAAAGAAACTTATTCGATGTCACGTGTCATCTGATCACTGAATTAGTTTGTTTCAGTTGTTTCACTTAGGTGTTAAGTCTCAAAGGTCAGCTGAGAAAGCCCTTACTTACTTACTTATATTGGAGATTTTACGTGCGCTTTCCGACTGCAAGCGTATGTCGCACACGGGCCCGCCAGGCCATTTAATGTGTTTCCGAAAGGGGGAGAAGGAAGAGGTGGTGCAAACCCAGGAGGGGGGTTTAAGGGTTGCTTATATAGTAATTTTGAGATTTGGAATAAATGCCAAGAGTGGGTAGGGGCGAACTAAGGGAGCTGTGGGTGGTTTGTTAGTTTATGTGATTTTGGTTTTATTAGTTTATTTTGGGTTTAAATGCGACTAATTAGTCCTGATTTAATTAAGTATATGCCTAAGGCTTTGAATGTTTCTAATTTATTTTGTGGATTTAGGATTGATTCTAGAGTAAGTGTAGCATTAAGATTTAGGGTGGTTTGTAGTGTGGTTCGGCGTGTTTGGTAGTTTGTGCAGTGAATGAGTACGTGTTCTGGTGTTTCTTGTTGTT